CAGTGACAGATTTTACTTTCTTGGGCTCCATGATCACTGCACATGGTGACAGCAGCCATGAAATTCAAAGACGCCTGCTTCTTGGGAAGAAAGCGATGAGAAACCTTGACAGCATCTTAAAAAGCAGAGACATCACCTTCCTGACAAAGGTCCGCATAGTCAAAGCTATGGTTCTTCCGGTAGCGATGTATGGAAGTGAGAGCTGGACCATAAAGAAGGCTGACCGCTGAAGGATTTATGCTTTTGAATTGTGGTGCTGGAGGAGACTCTTGAGAGTCACCTAGACTGCAAACCTATCCATTCTGAAGGAAACCAACCCTGAGTGCTCACTGGAAGGACAGATCCTGAAGCTGAGGATCCAATACTTTGGCCATCTGATGAGAAACGAAGACTCCCTGGAAAAGTCCCTGATGTTGGGAAAGTGTGAAGGCAAGAGGAGAAGGGTACATCACAGGATGAGATGGATGGACAGTGTCACCGAAGCTACCAACATAAATTTGACCAAACTCCAGGAGGCAGTGGCAGACAGGAGGGCCTGGCGTGCTCTAGTCCATGGGGTCACAAAGAGTCGGGCATGAGTTAGCAACTAAACAACAAGAAGAAGATTGTTCTATTGGAAAAAAATAAAACATACTCTGAAAATAAGCCCTAATGTGTTTTTGGAGCAAAAATTAATCTTATTTTTTGGGGGGAAATGGTATATAGATATGAAGGAGAAGCTAATGCAAGAGGAAAAGTTGGGATACTTAGGGACTGATTTAAATTTTGTGTAGATGTAAAACATCTGTTTGGTGGTGCATCAAAACCACTTTTGTGTGCAAAGGTGCTTGAACCTGTCCTCTTAACCTGTTAAGATGTCAAACCAAAGAGTGCCTCCTTTATTAATAGATTAGTATATGGCTGAGCAAAATGTTACTCTCCAAATTTTGTTGGATTACAGTTTCCATCATCCCCCATGACTGACTATGCTGGCCAGGTGTTAAATACTTCAATTTGTGTATTCAGTACATACCCGCTCTGGCTCAATAGGCTTGTATTTGCTACTTTCTAGTTATGGTCATTTTCCTGTGCTTTAGTAACCTATGGCATTAAACAATAAATCACAGATTTTAGTTTCAAAATTGATTACTTATTTAAAATCAGTCTTCATTGCCATACCTATTCTTTTAGTTCATGTTAGAATAAGAAGACTAAATATATGACCCTACTTGGGGAGGGGAGATTGTGTGAGGAAACCGAGTGTGGTTTTATTTGCACAAAATTAAAGCTTCCTCTTCCTAATTACACAGCGAATAAAATGGTTTCAGCAGGAATCTAAAGAGTAGATTGACTTAAAATCTCCCTCAGCAGACCACCCCTTATTTGTTAGTTTACCTCAACTGACTCTGGCAAAGAGTAAAACATTTTAATTTACTCACAGTTCTTCTTATATAAAAACAAATATCATATTGTGTGGAAGTGTTTACTTGATACATCACTGAGCTTAACTGGTTAACTTGCTTCATTACTGACTGACTGGTACATAGCTGAGGTCTGGTTACATAGAATAGTCTGACAGACTCTGCTGTTGACACTGAAAGAACCATGATTAATGTAAAAAGGTGGGAAAATAAGTTAAGGTAGAGAGGGAACTATTTGCTATTACTGAGTTGACTGAAATTCAACCCAAGTCCAGAAAGGGTCTTCCCACCAGAACATCTCAAAGGCATCATATGTAGGTTGCAATATATCCAATATGATGTATTCTAATTATAAGACCTGATTATACCTCATTGTGTGAATACTGTAATGTTCTGTGGTGGGTTAATTTGGAAATTAATTAATAAACTCTTCTTCCCAAAGAGTACCAATTTAAACAGCTGTATCAGTCCCTTCCCTCTTCTCATTACCAGTCACAATTTAACTGATAAAAATACAAGTCATACCAAGTACTGTATATTAACAAAACCAAATCAGCATTTGTATTCCTAATTAGATGTTTAGCAAGTGTGAAAATGAATAGCACATGTACCACTCCTTTATAGTTATTTTTACTTTGACTCTGCCAAGAGATTACAAACAGGAAACGGGCAATGAACATGTTGAATATATTCTCCATAACTGCATGCACTATAGAAATGGAAGAAAATATACTTTAAGGAGAAAACAACTACACATACAGATATACAGGGACCAGATTTTAACATTAGGAGCTAAGAGATATGGTGTAGAGATAGTGAAGGGCAGCTTACATAGAAATAGCCACAATACAGTTCTTCAAATTAAATTAAGGAAGTGACATTTCCCTCCTTCCTACATTGTTTAATATTATGAAAAGAGAATATCTGAGAAGAGTAAACAGTACCAAGGATCTTGGAGCACTTTAAAGATTAGCATGTTTTAAGTTTAAGCTCAATAAAACCTATTAGTCTTTAAGGTGCCACATGACACTGATGGTTTTACTGCCACAGAGTAACCCACCTGCCAATTTATTGAGAGGAGTAGTTATTAGATACCAATGTCAGTTTGGACATAGCAGTGGTTTATTCTACAAATATGAGTTTTTAAAGAGTTTGGGGACCTCATGTGTCAGAGATTAAAATAGTACCTGCAGACTGGGAGTGTATTAAGTTACTATAATGATTATTGGAAAATGAAGTAGAAACAGTTCTCACACATGGCATATCTTGAGTTTAACTGAATGCAAAGAAGCACAGCGAAGTTGTGAAGACTGTGGTGCTTGCAAATAAGTAGAAAGTTTAGTCTCCATGTTAGACTGTAAAGGAGAAATAGGAAGATGATTAAGTAGGGAGGACTAATAATTCTGTGATGTCCATCTGCACAACAAGTGTCAGTCACTAATTCCAACTGATCTTTCTGTTATTTTCAAATCAGACCAATGTTAATCCTATCCTGATCACTTATCTGCCTCAACAATCTAATCTCAAATGTGTAATTGTAAATCATAGTAGCAAGTGGCATAAACAATAACTCAACACTCTTTCCTCCAACATCCAAACATGTGTCTGGGAGATTCCTAGATGTCAAAGCATGACATACTGTTTATATAGGTAAGAAAATTATATAATAATATGGAATGAGTAGGCCTATAGCTGATCTATGATAGATCAAGTAAAGGACTTTTCTGTTGGTAAGGCCCGACATGAGCAGAACACATATCTCAGACAACTGGGTTGCTTATGGGTACAGGACTGGATTAAGACCTCACAAACTAAAGTGCAGTAAATGTCATGACTATCAAACCCCATTCATTTCAGTGTTTTTATTCTGCATCTAAGTCATGGTCTTTCTGTTGGGAAAGCACAGGATTCTGCTTTCCAAACAGAAAACAATACATGCTTGTATATCACCATATAAACAAACTGAATTATACTCATTTTACTATCTTAAAGAAACAGTTTCTTTATCAGGTCCAACCTACAAAGTTAAAGCCAAGTAGAAACTGTGAAGCAGGAGAGAAAAGTAATTGTTATCTTAGAATTTACACCCAATTCTGCGAAGTGTGCCTCAACCCAATCTTTCTGTCCTCTGAGGCCTTCAAAACTCTGCTCTGGAAGATCAAAGGTGGAACACCTCCTAGCTAACCTTTCAACAATGCGTACAGGCAGAGGTATTACAGTACTTGTGGACCCTGGCACAAATTAAGGGAGATCTGTGGTACAGCGTATCAGTCAGAATAGAGTTTCCATGTAGGCACATAATGCATAAATTTAAAGTGTTCTCGGTCGTTTAAATGGCACGGCGCTGGAAGAAGACATGATAGGCCTGCCCTGGCACTCATAAGACAGCATCGATCAACTTGATGATAGTGATGCTGAAGTCCGATGACCTCCCTCGCCAGGGAGTTATCCCCAGGCTGCGGCGTCGGCAACTCACAGTCAGCCAGATCTGGTTCGGGCACCAACAAGGAAAAAAAGTCCCTGTCCTCGCCGCCCGTCCCAACCCCGGCGATCTGACAAGAAAAATTCTGCGTCCTGATTGGGGGGGGGGGCTGGCTCGGCAGGCAAAAAGCCCCTCTTTCTTCCTCCTCCTCCTCCTCTCCCCCCCCCCAAAGTCTTCTCCAGGGTGCGGCGTGGAAAAAAAAGAGAGGAGGAGAGGCACTTCCAAGAACGTGGGAGGCTTTC